GCTCCCCCCCCCCCCCCCCCCCCTCCCCCAAACATTTGTAGGTGCTCCCATAGCAGTCTATGGGACCAAAGAAGCTCAGGTCTGCCCCAAAAGAAGCTAATGTACTTTTTTGGGCTTCCAGCTTACAACGCTGAGATGTGGATGGGCACCATTTAAAATAATTGTATTCTTCATGTTGAGAAGTGCTTCAAAATGCCCATGTGTGAATAAGGTCTATGACAACACATCAGTAAAGGTTTAAGCTGTATGAGTAGGACAAGTAACAAAATGTACAACTTTTTTTGGAAAATCTGTATATATTATGGATGCATAAAGTATTTTCAATCTATTTGTTGGCACCACACTATACCTGCTCCTGCAGTATTTATAGTTTGGTCACTTCCATGTACATAGCAAGACTTTCTATTTAAAATGATTTAATCTAGTATGATGTGTGCTACAGACGGAGAACACCCCATTTACTATGGAATTAGTCAAAGTGTGACTATGTTCTGTATGCTACATCCTTCATATGATCCCACTGTGTACTGTGCTGCACCTGACACACTACAGAACGCCACATTTTGTATACTGTGCATTGTATTACATACCCCACACTGTTTAATAGTGTGTTATACGTTGTTAAATAACCCATATAGGAGTTATTCATACCACTGAGACTCCGTAGTCTGGAAAACCTTTGACATCATTGTGACAAGACCAAACAGCGAGGGCGAATTCTAAAGTGAATGCAGCGTGTTCAGTCTGCAAAGGTTTGTATGACTATACAATCAGCTTAATGCATATTTTATTGGCTAAATGATAAGCAGATGTGGTATGTAATAATGCACACTGCTCGGAAAATGTATATTTACCTGGCCACTGCTTATTCAAGCTGAAACCCTGCTAGTACAAAGAATTGCAGTATTGGTATGTATCAACGTACAGGGCAGTGCTGGTGCCATTTTTGGGAAGTAGAGGGTTTTTCGGGGGGGGGGGTTAGTTTATTATTTATCTCTTTTTATAATGCTAGCTATCTTTGTATAAGGATCAGGTGAGAATCGGATTGGAGCAGACTGTGCAGTTCTGCATGAAGTGGTTATGGACATATGAGCAATCAAGCAATAATTTCATGTGACTGCTATGTGATGATAAAGTAATAGTCAGCGTAACAGGCTGTCACTCACCTGAATAAGTATAATGTTGGTCTTCATTTTGCAATCTAATGGCATACATGAATAAGTCTGCATCTGTGGCATGCTGGATTTCTTTCAAGATGATTAGGAGAATATGTTTGCTACTTCCTTATTTACCTTTTTCTATCCACCCATTGTAATTGAAAGGACTAATAGCGTACTTCCCAGGGCGAGACGACATTTTAAAATGTAATTTTTTTCTTCTTAAAGTGCTCTTGCGCCCCCTAACGCACTCGCGAGCACTGTACTGTGATGACACTGTCTATTGGACAGTGCAAAATACATAAAGACAGTGCAGAACCAATGAGATTGCGTAATTGCTGTGACCAATCGCAGCATTCCAAAATTTAAACATTGGCTACAGTTTGCATACATCTTTCCTATCTCAATCTGATCAGCTGTGAGAAGAAAGGGGAAGCTTTGATTGCCAGCCTTCACCAGTACCAGTGTCATCTAGTACCAGGGTCTTGATCACCAACCAGTACCAATGTCATCAGGTACCAGTGTCCTGATCACCAGCCAGCACTAGTACCTTTGTTCTAGCTCCAGTGTTAGCCACAACCACTATCCTGATCACCAACCAGTTCCAGTGTCAACTAGTACCAGTGTCTTGATCACCAACCAGTACCAGTGTTATCTAGTACCAGTGTCGTGATCACCAGCCAGCACCAGTACCAATGTCATCAGGTACCAGTGTCAGCCACAACCAATGTCCTGATCACCAGTCATCACTAGTACCAGTGTC